ACCTCGAGCATAGTGAGTATTCTGTTTGCTCAAAGTAATGACTTCAAAGGTAATCCATCTAACTCTTAGCCTTTCGGGTTGAACCACTTATACGATTGGGTTCAAGTGGCTTGTGGCTCGAGTAGTCCAATACGCTTGAGTTGTCGCGTATCATATGTACTTGCACCACAGGGCTTGAGTTTGACACTTATGGGATAAAATTCGAAATTCATCCAAGTTATAGAAACTCATTCGTGAATTCGCAAATTTCATAACTCAAGAGAAGTTTCTTTGAACTCGCCCAAGTTTTGCATGAATCTCGGACAAGTTTTCTTTGAACTTGCCTAGTTTTACATGAATTCTGGGACTATTTTCTCCGAACTCGCCCGAGTTTTACCAAAATAATCCTGATCTAATTTGCATTACTCTAGAGTGAGATTTATTCAATCTCAGGAGAGATTCAAGCTCAATATTAATGGTCATTTAATTTCAACGAACCTAAATTAAAAAAAAAATCAAGGGACTGAGATTTATGCAATATGGATTCAAGTCAGAGATTTATGCTCATTCTTATTTCAATGAACCCAAATAAAAAAAAATCACTCAAGATTAGAGTTTGTATCTCAATACCCATTCGAATATGAAGAAAGTGACGAATATCGAAACCGAAAAATAGGAGAAGAGAAAGAAAATCGAAAAATAATAGTAAAGATAGATACAAAAATGAGAAGGGACATAATAGTTCAAATCAAAGTTCTTGGTGCAATTACTTTTACACAATGGAAGCGAGGAATAATGTTATAGGAAAGAAATGGAAGTGAGGAATAATGTTATATGAAAGAAATGGAAGTAGGGAAGAGAAGAGAAGAGAAGTTTGAGAATGGAATATGTTGGAGGTAAAAATATGACCGACCACATGGCGAGATATGGTCGAGCTCCTTAGCTCACTTATGGTCGAGCTACTTAGCTCATCTACCATCGAGCTCCTTCACCTATGGTCGAGCTCCTAAACTCACCTATGATCGAGCTCCTTAGCTCACCTATGTTCGAGCTCCTAAGCTCACCTATGGTCGAGCTCCTTAACTCACCTAACGCCGAGCTACTAAGCTCATCCATAACTGACCCCAATCATTGTTGACCTATGGCCCAACATCTAACCGCCTTGTCGTAACGACCATAATGGATGTGTCCCTTTACTCCGCCTATAAAAGAATCTTCATTCCTCTAACTCATGTATGCAATTCTGCTCCGAGAATGACCTATTTGAGCTCGTGGCTATACTGATTTGAGCGTCGGAGTGTTTACTTTCTTTTTGCAGTTCCTACCTTGCATGAGCTCGCAGCTCGTTACCTCGACCATTTGCCACGTGGCCAACGTCGACAGCTCGGCATAATTTTGCATCAATAGAACATAAATAAATAAAAGAGAAAAGAGAGGAGAATGGAGAAGGGATATCACTACAATTTCTCAGTTCTTTTAATTTAATAAAATATTGATTTAGGTTGGAAAAAGAAAATTTGAAAGCTTAAATCATTTGAGCAAAGTGAGAACTTTTTTAGGTTATTTGTGTCAATTTTTCCTCAAACTCTTATATCAGACTCAGGACAATTTTGTGTTTTTATATGAGCTAACATGTCAGAAATTTTTTTTAGGTCAGAAAAGCAGGTTTTGAAATGTTAGATCATAAATCCAAAAACTATTTAGGTTAGAATGGTCAATTTCTCTAGGATAGAATAGAAACCCTTTTTTTTTTTTACAAAAATTGAATTATTTAGGCGCATTTGACCACGATTTTTAAAAACAAATTAGGTTTGTTTCTCACTTTTAGCCAAATTTCAAAAGGTAAAAACAAGCATTTTAGTGTTACAAATTTTCTTAGATTTTAAAAACGGTTTTAGGTAGTAACATAGATGAAAGTTGTGTTCGAGGCTTAATTTAAAAAAAGGAAAAAACAAAAAATAAAATAATTATCAAATAAATCTAATATTTTGAATTTCAAAATATATCTAGTTCTAGTTGGCTAATATTAATATTTAAACTATTGTAAGATCCATTTTCTTTTTAATGTGAGATTTTTAACATGCTCGTTTGAGTTTGTTAGACTATGATACCATATCGTGTCTATTATAAATCATTGTAAGATCCCTTTTCTTTTCGATGTGAGATCCTTAACGACTAATATCATAAATAGATGGTGTGAGTAATTAATAATTTTATAATAATCGATTTAAAAAAAAAAAGAAATTAATCCAAGCATAGTTCATTAGGTAAGTTACGTGCCACCATCTCTAAAATCAATGGTTTGATATTCCTCCCTTGGAATTGTCGAATGAAAAAAAATTATAATAATATAACCTAATGAAAATGATAGAATCTGTGGCATTGATTATTAAATAAAACAAATAACGAATGGAAAAGCATCAACATGATTTCATAAACTTGAGCACAAATTATACATTTACATTGGTAACAATTTACTTCAATTGCAATGTGGTAGCATACTTCACAAAATCATATGCCCCAAAATGAGGATAAAATGGTAAAAATCATAGATTTCATATCTCATTTTTTGAAAGAAAAAGAAAAGCAAGAAACTGTTCAAAATCCAAAACTCAAACCTTAGCAATGGAATAATAAACAAGCTGAAGTCATTAGAATGAAACTTAACCACCAGCTGCTGATGTTCCTGAAGACTCAGCCACATCTTCCAACTTCAATGTTATAGCAACTTCCTCAACTGTTTTGCCCGTTTCCACTCGACTCAGTCTCTTCAACCATACATCGTAGTCGACCATGTAGGGCGTTCCACAAAGGCTGTCCACATAATCAGCAAATGCCTTCAACAGAGCCGAAACCTCGCCCAGGCGCTGCTGAATTATCCGCTTCGCCCAGCTGGTTTCCCTCCACTGCAATGCAGATTCTATGGAGTCTTGTTGCTCGATCGATCCACCGCAAACGAAGTAGAGGAGATAAATTAAGCTCTCAGCATCTGAAGATGGGCAGAGCTTCCCATGTTGGAGAGCATGTGAGGATGAGAATTGTAAGTTCACGGCCGGGCTGTCCCGATCCTCCAAAACGGCGCGTCCCCAAGATATGGGAATGTATAAGAAACCATTTCTTGATTCTTGCACGTCTACAACGCGTATTATGTTCTCAGGACAGATATCACCATGCTGGACACTAGCTAGAGATGCACTTCTTAGAGCAGCTAGACAGTCTCTACAGCAACGAATCGCCTCTTCGGAGGAAAACGGGCCATCCCGAGCCACGATACATGAAAGTGGCTCGCCAACCGGTGATGTCAAAAGCACCGGTGTCCCACACCAGGGGTGATCACACCGGCCTCCCGATGTCTGCTTCTTACAGGGACCGGAATGTAGAATTCGACCAGAGGCAATTATTTCAGGTAAACATCTACTTGAAATGCCTTGCAGCTTCAAGATGTTGAGTACTTTTGTTTGCCTCTGTACTTGATACCAAAGACTCATATCCTCCCAAGACGGCTCGAGCTTTGACACGTGAGCACCGACATAAAGTGTCAACAACTCTGCAGGATAATCTACAGAAACAGCAGTGTATAGAGAACAGTTACTAACATCTACCAATGATCCCTGCACCTGAAAGCTCTTTTGCCCTTGTCTTTGATCATCAACTACCAATATTTCCCCCGGACGAAGCTTCAAACGGGATGCTTGGTTCTTGTACACATGATCATCCATCTGCTCAACTTCAACAATCTCTCCTGGATGATCATAAGGAACTATTGTATTTTCACTCTCAGAAACTCGAAACTCCATCCAACGCTTATGTAAACGCAAACTATGGTCTGATGCTAAAGAAGTAATGGGCTTTCTTGGCAGACCATGCCACTGGATGATGGAGTAGAAAGTTGCCAATAAGATCTGAAGAGTTCCCAAGTCTCCCCAGTTTGCATTTCCGAGTTTGTTCCATATACGGTCGACTGGCGAAACGCTTACTTGAGCATAATTTCTCATCCATTCAACTGCAGAATGGTAGGGGTTAGTTGAGTTAATGTCAAGTCTGCTAAGATCCCCGCCGAGTTTTACTACGCCACCATATTTTGAATCCAAAATAAAAATGGAAACAGAATCATTGGTGTTGATAGTACTGATTTTGCTTAAACTCCTAGAGATGAGTAAATGTAAACCATAAAAGAGAGCTTCACAAACAGCGCGAGCCGATAACTTCAGCTCGTCTTCTGATAATGCATTAGGCTTGAATAAAGTAAACTGCACCACTTGATCCCAACGAACTTGCAGCTCACCTCCAGCTCTAGAAATCAAACACAAACCTTGTAGTTCTCCTACCTTTCCCCTCGATATCGCCTTTTCAACGGTATAGAATTTGGATCCTAAGTGACGGGGGCAGGATATGAAGAAAGGCAAGGGTCCGCTCTTGTGCCAAAATGTGCGCCACAAACCGTTTATGATAGCATGAAAGAAGTCTTCAAGTGCAAGAAATTCGTCTTCTATTAGATCATCAGAGAAAGGTGAACATGGCATACGAAACAGTTGCTGAAACAAAACTCCTTCTAATGCCAAGTCCAACTGGCGAAGTTCCTCGATAGCAAACGGAGATGGAAAATTCGGTTCATCATCTGCCGAATGGGAGGAAGTGTTCTCCACAACCCAATCCTCAATACTCTGATTAAAGATTTCAAAATCAATCAGTTTTCTTTTATAGTCCTTCAGCACTTTATATGCTCTTCTTGAAACAGGAACAAACTTGCCTGACGTGGCAGTGCCAGATGGACTATGCCCAGATTGAGCTGCAATGAATGATAACCTTTATGTCAATGAGTTGTAAATATTGTAATATGAAATAGTGCTTCTCATAGAAGAAAATTGGCTAAATATATGTGTTTTAATCCGTAATGTTTGGGTGTTTTTTAAATTTACTCTCTTATTTGAAAAGTTTCAACTTAGCCCCTTAGATTTTCATATTTTATAAGTTTACTTTTCCCATTAATAAATGTTAAAAGTGAGTAATGATAAGCCTACATGACATGATATTTAGTGCATTGGCGTAAATTTAGAAGAAAAATTAGGCCAACTAAAAGAAAGAAAGTCAAAATTTGAAGGCACAATTAGAAGTTTTCCTCTCTTAGGTGGCTTAACTCCTTTAAACTTATGTGGGCTCACTAAGTATTACCGTATAAACTTATCATTAGCAAATTGTAACATTCACCAACAAAAATAGTGTAATTAAAAAATGTTAAAATGGTGCTAAAAAAATGTTAAAAGGTAAGGGATTAAATTGAAACATTTTAAATAATATAAACTACATTGAAAAAGTACATTATTTAGCCAAGAAAATATTGTGGCAGTATATATGAAAAATGAAAAGAAATGATCTCAATATCTATATTAACTCGATTTTTTTCTCTATACAACTATTCACAAGTTTATGTTACTAGCGTTGATCATTCACATCCTAATAGCAAGAAGACATTGTGAATCATATCTTAGCATCTTCGTGAATCAGTAATGCAGTTCCATAAAGATTAAGCTATCCATTCATAAATAAGGTTTAAATCCTATATTAGTCTTTCAACTTTCAAATTTATTCTGAGCCACTCCTCGGTTGCAAGGATTGGTAAAATAAGATTTTGATATGTTGAATATTATATTTGGATGTCAAATAACAATGAATACTAGCTTAGAATTTGCATAAATGGAAGATATAAAGTATGTAAAATCGACGCGTACAAACCAGAGTGCGATTTTCGAAAACTTCCATCCAGACTTTGAGCTGGAGACAAGTCTAAGCCATTTTGAAGAAAACCTGTACCATATTGATATGAGATTTGTGAGTATAAGAATGGTTATTGAAAAAACATGTAGTTGCTTACCCATTTCTCAGAATATTTAACAAATTCATGTGTACATGAAATATCTAACATAAATCATCTATAGAGACCATATAGAGCTCTGCACATGAGAAATATAGAAAAGAAAAGCAGGGGATTTTCAATTACAAAACCATCCAAAATTAAGGAGTTTAGCATTATTTTGAAACGAGTATACCGGTATTTTCAAAGCGTAAGATGCACCTCAAGGCGACAAGTCCTTTGACTACCTTAAAGTGAGAGGCGACAAAAAGGTGAGGCGTGAAGCGCCCCTTAATAAATAAATAAAAGTTATATATAGAACATAAATTTATATAGTAAACCTAGTTTAAAAGGATACATACTAAAATAGTGAATACATCAAAATGTTCAAAAGAAACATAAAATAACCAAATTATATTAGTTCCCAACATACAACATTAAGAAATAAGAATAAAAGTAAATGTAAAACATCAAATATCATTGTCATCCTCTAAATCTAAAGCCACATCTTCATCTTGGACATTCTCCTCACAATCTTCCATTTCAAATCCCAATTCTTCTTCGTCAATAACATCATCACTAACCACTTGTATACATAAATGAAAAGAAACTAATAAACAGTGAAGAAAGTAAAACCTTGCCGACACTCAAAACTTGCCGGAGAAGGAGGAAGGCGGTGGCAGTAGTGAAGTACAAAGGCTTTCGGGTGTGGGTCTTTTGATTATGGGTATTTGGCTATTCAGGGATTTTTTTTTTTAATACAACATGTGGAGTGGGGGATCGAACTCACAACCTCTTGGTTATAGATAATATGCCAATTACCACTGTGCTATGCTCGCTTTGGCGACTGTTTAGTTTTTTAGGGTTGCTTTTCATGTGATTTTAACAATATAACAAGAAAATTTAAATTTAAAAAGATATATATATATATACACGTGGGTCGCCTCATTCAAAGAGGCGCTTGCCTCGCCTTATGGTGATGGCGTGCCAAGGCAAGGTAAGGCAAGACACACAAAGTGAGAGCCCGATTGAAGGCACTCGCCTCAACACCATTCAAGGCGCGCCCAGGCAAAAATGTCTCAACCGTCACCATAGGCGAGTGCCTGGACACGCCTTGAAAACACTGAACTGCAGCCATCATTATTATGACCAAGATCCATGAGAAATAGACTTTATTTTTTGTTTCTTAGATCTCAAGTTTGTACCACCTATAAAACAGATCCTATTCAAGTAAGGTCGTTAGGACATCCCTTCACTGAGGAGAAAAAATTGCTTTGGTTGCATTTTGTTCATGTTCCGCTTTGGTCCATTTGGATGGAACAAAACAATAGGATATTTCACGATAAGGAACACCCTCCTCGCCACACCTTTGAATCTATAGTTCTTATGGGTTATCTCATGGTGTAAATGTTCCTCTCTTTTTCATCATTATAGTATTGCTTCATTGTTATCCAATTGGAGAGCATTTTTTGAATCCCCTCGTGGCCCATGGATTCTCCCCTTTTTGTATCTAATTTCATATCGGTAATAAAATTGTTCCTTCTCCAAAAAAAATAATTAAAAAAAGATTCTCTTAAACAACCTAGGAATTACATGTAGGCATATCATGAGGGTTCAATAAAAATAAAAAATAAAAAGGGAAAAAAGGAAAAAATAAAACAAAGCAATGGTTATCGGTACAAACCAGAAATGAACTTTCTAAAACTTCCATCTAAACTTTGCCCAGGAGATGTGTCCAAATTACCTTGCTCTAAACCTGAAAAAAAAATGCACTTTCAAGCTTAATGATTGCTTCCAAGTAGATCAAGGAAGAGATCAGCAACAAGAGAAGTCATATGATAGGCAAACCAGAAAAAGCAAAAGTGGAAAACTTCAAATGCATATTATGAACTTTTTTGAAAAAATAATAATTATAATTGATAGGAGACTAGAAACCTTTCATTCGAAAAGCAAACAAGTATAGAGGATGGTGAAAAAAGCCACAAAAAGGTTCCTCCAATAATCCATAGTATCCAGTTGACTTTATAATAATAAAGGAAATATAGTAACAAAAAGTATATTTGGAAATGAATAGATCCTTTTCTAGGTTGCTCCAAGGAAGATTTTTTACTAGCTTCCAAGCAAATTTCTAGTATGCCATCTAGTTGTTTGGATGATTATATCGCCTCTCTCGAAAAAGAGTTGGAATCGCTTTGAGAAGAAAGATTTCAAAGTAAACACTCTATTACCAAGAAGCTGGGTCTGTTGTTGAAGGACTACATAGCGAAGCTTGAGGATTTTGTATCTTTGAATCCTTCTTCGTCCAAGTAGGGGTTGGCACTTCTTTTGGTTGGCCTAAGTTTTTTTGGTGTCCCGAAGTTCTCATGCAGTTTTTGGACCTTTGGTTAGTGGTTTTTGGTTTTCTTAATTTTCATTCTTATTCACTCTAATTGTATTTCTCCTTGAGCTTGTACTTTTCTTGTTTTGATTTTTTCTATTTTTTCTTGCTCCTTCAAGGGCTTATATCCTGCGAAATTTTCATTTGTATTTATCGATGAAATGTTGTTTCTTCTATACCTTCTCTTCTTTTCTGCTTAGAGGACGAGCATTGGAGAATTAATCAAGATCAAATCACCTTCTAACTTTTTTGGTACAAATGTACCAGTGAGGTGAAGAATAAAGATGGGAAATGGGAATCCTTGGCCTGTTTCACATTTGCAGTACTAATACCCTCAATTGCCAAACTTCAGATAAATTACCTTCTCATTCTATATAGCTTTTGAGATATTCTTATTATAAGTCCACCTGGGAGGAGAGAGGCTAAAGAACAAAATATCCCAAACTTGTCTAACTGTCAATCAAGCTTATCTCTATGTTGTCCAGGACACTGACTCTATTAATGTCGTAAATAATTAACATTAAGCATTGGTGAAAACCGAGAGGGAATTTTTATTAGAATGTCAAAAGTCTGTTTTCTAATGCATAGGAAAGCTCCTTTTATAATAAGGGAGCTGGAAACT